CACGGTCCCGCTCTATGTCCCGCTCAAGGTCTCGCTCAATGTCTCGTTCCAAATCACGATCGAGGTCCCGTTCATTTTCTACGGGCTCTAGTAGGAGTAGATCACGGAGCGTCAAGGGAAAACGCAAAGCAGGGAGCGAAAGTAGTAGAAGGAGCAGCCGGAGTCGAGACGATATGCGTGATAGTCGTTCTAGAAGTAAATCGCCACCCGGAATCTGATAGATTACAAACCCAAGCTCAAAAAGGAACATTTGTGATTTCTTGCCAAGATTATCAGCTGTTGCTGTCCTCTATGCTCAATATCATATACATAGGTATTAAAAAAACATGGTCAAACAAGCAGCTAGTCACTCAAAGAATCTGTATCCGCAACAAATGGTCTAAATGTGATTCAATGATGTTTCTGGAGAGACCAGAGATGATGACAACCCGTGCGGTACTAGACGCGATTCCATTCTTGCCAGAGTCATCTTGAGTACTCTCTTTCTGAGCTGGCGAAGCGCTACGAGAACGCATCTCTGCATCATCAAAAGGAGGTGTTGCTGTACGCAGCATATCCGCCTGAGACAGCTGTCAAGAGTACGTGAAGCTGGTCGAAATTTGGTGGAGTTCAAGTGCGATCAAATACGGGTGGTCACCTTCTTCCAGCCACCATGTCCCAAGCGATTCAACAGCTCGTTCTAGAGACCCTTGATAAGCATAATACCATTGATGATACCAGAAAGCTAATCCTTCCTGGAGAGGCTTCTCCTGCCGCCACTCAGGATGCACAATTGGCCATCATCGCTGCACTCAACTCGCTTTTGTCGAGAAACGTGAGATCATACAAATTTTCAAGTCATTGTAGCTCATAGTGGTGATAGATGGTCGCATATGAAGCGCATGAAGTGGTCACTTATTGTCTCACCCCCGAAGGTGAACAAATCGCAGAGCAAGGGTCTCATGAAGCCCGAGTGTGGGCAGCACTCTCTGAGAAAGGAGGGAGCCCTGTATCGATCAGAGATCTCAAGGCAAAAGTTGGCGATGAAAGCTCCAAAGTCGGACAAGGTCGGGCGTTCAAGAACGGCTGGATCGTGAAAGATGGGGAGAACCTATTCAAAGCTGTAGGTCTTTTAACCACTCTGACCTGATGGATGGCCTTACTGACTTGCCGTCTGTCTGTAGGTATCCAGTATCCAAGATGCCACCCAGGAAGAAATGAGGGAAGTCGCGTCCACGGGCACACTGGCGGCAGGAGATAAAGCCCTTGCCGAGCTTAAGAAACGAAAGCTGATAACCCAAAGGTATGTTCGCTTATCCCGCGGCTCAATGCATGACTCATTGGATACTCAGGAAGGGCCAATGGTATTCAGTCACAAAGGGGCCAGAGTTTAGCACATCAACAGCAAAACCAGAAACAGATCTCACTACGGAGATGATTACGTCGTAGGTTGCTGATGATTTGAGGATGAAGAATAATTCACGCTGCCTTCAGGGGGTCATGGAAGACATCTACGTACAAGCAATATAACTTTGACGCCGAAGGAGTTCCACCGAGTGGTGGTGCACTTCATCCATTGTTGAAAGTGAGAGAAGAGTTTAGGAATATTTTCTTGGAGATGGGGTAGGTACTTTACCGCATGCTCGGACGTCAGATTGAATTTTCTGGTAAAAAGATTTGCAGAAATGCCTACATCTCAGTTCGTGGAATCTGGGTTCTGGAACTTTGATACCTTGTTCGTGCCGCAACAACATCCAGCCAGAGATCTTCAAGATACCTTCTACATCTCCGACCCCGCAGTCTCGCTACCACCCCCGAAGGAGTATTATGACAAAGTCTCAAAAGTTCATGCGGTATTTATTCTTCTCAAATTCATCTTCTAAGCCTTGGTTTAAGCCTTTCCCCTAATCACAGGTCGGAGGATTTGGCTCAACTGGTTATCGTGCACCCTGGTCCGATGAGGACTCGCAAAAACTTCTCTTGCGGACACATACTACTGCCCGATCCGCTTATATGTTATACAAACTGGCAACACGGCCAAAAGGACCCAATGGCGAAGAAGGGGGGTTCAAGCCCGTCAAGATGTTCTCTATTGATCGCGTATTCAGGAATGAAGCTACAGACGCTACTCACTTAGCAGAGTTTCATCAAGTTGAAGGTGTTGTTGCTGATAGAGGTATCACGCTTGGTGATCTGATAGGTGTGCGCGATCCTGAATCTCGGGCGCATCTTCACTCATCGAATCTATAGGCTTCATGGAAACCTTCTTCAGTAAAATGGGAATAACTAATCTAAGATTCAAACCAGCATATAATCCCTACACCGAGGTCAATTTACTCACCGCTTACGTTCTGGCCCCAAAGCATTGACTGCCCATCTAGCCCTCCTTAGAGATATTCGCATTCCATCCTGCCCTGAAGAAATGGGTTGAAATAGGAAATAGTGGAATGTTCCGACCAGAAATGCTCGAACCTATGGGACTGCCTCGCGACGTTCATGCTCTTGGATGGGGACTTAGTTTGGAGAGACCGACGATGATTCGGTGAGACATGGATCAACTCTGAGTATTTAGTACTGACTTTGGTGCTATTCTAGATATGGGATCAATAACATCCGCACATTAGTGGGACATAAGGTTTCCATAGAAGGGGTAGAAAAATCCGCCGCAGTTCGCTTCTAACTGGGGACATAGTATAGTCTAATGTAGTGGAGAATGGAAGAGAAACTATATATCCGTCATCAATCTGTTTGAAGTGTGCTTTCAGTGCCCCGTAGGATAACAAGCTGTCTTAGTAACGTTCTCCGTTCAATGCATGCATCTTGTCCTTCTCCATGTCCTTTCACAATGCTCCTGTAACCAAAGGTCCGTGACTTCTTGCAGCACAAGTTCTTTTCAACTCAAACCCCGCTTGAAATTAGCGTTAATGCTCGGATTGGGCATTAATTCTCTGGTCGGGGGAGCCTTCCAATACAAGCACTTCTTTAAATTTCAACTTGTGCCACATGTGACCAAATATCACCAAGTATGTAGTCTAATAGGTCAATTTATCGTTCAAGAACTCATCTTGCATCGTCAATTCGCCTATACATTGGCAAACGGCGTCGACCGCTGGCAAATTATTGTTGATGAATATTAGTGGTGGCGGCTCCTCACCTACCAACTCGCATTTTCAAATTCTAGTGACCTATTTATTACTCAAATCATCCTTTACAACGCAGCCGTTCACCTGGAGAGAGTTTTTGGAAGCAAGAAATTCGGGGTAGGAGACAGTCATTGACAATTCAGTTCCCCACGTCTAATGCCTATCATTTAAAAGTCATTCATTTTCGTATCCAGTTGCCTTTCAGCCGGTTTCACACTACTGGCTAGCACTGTAGCCACTTACTTTAACGTCACGACTGCCTTCTCGGGTCCAGTGTCAGTCATGTTTTGCATCCTATACTCTTATTCTAGAGTGATACCGTCGGCCTACCGATATCGAGTTTTCGGACTATCGTTCACTGACAAGAGTCCTGTCTATGGAGTTGCTCTCCTTGTCAGTCCCTTTTAACGTCAGGGAGAAAGGTGTTTGACTAATGAATCTGATTATAGATGGCTGTGACAAGTCTCCCTCAATCTCTTCTATCAGCAATCATTGGTATCTTGTCAGGAGCTGCTTGCCGCTCTGACCTGTTCCCTTTCAAGGCTTATCGATTGCCCAACTGGATTATCAAAATAGCATCTGCGTTCAGACCTCTCATTGGAGCTACTGAGCCTGGGTTCCGAAGCATTTCAGCGCTACCTGAGAGAGGAGTCAATAGCACAGATCTTCAGGGCAGTACGGATGAACCGCTGACCACGAACGTGCGAATGGAAGATACAGGAGGAGTGAACACCGAAAACAATGCTGCACCGAACCGAAGTCCGACCCAAGAGGAGATTTCTCAGTTAACGGCGATGTTCCCGAATGCCACCCGGGTACAGATCCTGAACGCACTGACATCAACGTACGTATATAGGCTCCCAGATCTCGATCCACTACGCCCGCTAACTTGGGTCATCTAGCACGAGCATGGAAGCTGCCGTAGAACGACTTATTTCGTAGACCGGTGTGATTATAAAGGTTGGGAATTTTGATTCATGGAGCATGCGCCTCGATGCTGTGAACAAAAGGCTCGACAGCTCGAGTCGCTTTATCGGATAATTCTGACGAACCTGAACCCCTTAAACTGCTTGGAGCAAAACGTAAATTAGTCATGTTGTTAAAGTCAGCCGGGCGTGTCCTCCGTTGCACTCTCGTTATCGCAACCTGCCCGCTCTTGCCCGGTGAAACGAGCAATAAATGTCCGCGGCGTTCTTAAACACGGCAACGAACGAGACGCCAGAGTCAGAGAACGCATGGAAGGTGGCCTCAAGAGCAACCACATGAAATACAATATCAAATTTGAATGACTGCAGTTCATTTCCTGAGGCATTTCTGAACACACCAGTGCTTTCCTTCTGCTTTGCTAACCAATTGAGTTTATCATCTCGGACATCTATTTGGTGTTAAGGATAGATTGTGGGCATTTCATTATCGATGCAGTATTCAGTGGAATAATATGCCCTTTTTTGTGAAGGAGGTTGAACCAAAGGACAACGAAAGGCGGGCAACCTGTGGTTCGCTTTGTTGGACACCTTTGACGCCGCCCTCATCCGCGGTCCTTTTTTGCATTCATCTACCGACCTGGGCTCACTTTCTACCTTTTTTACTTCATTCTACATCACCAATCCATCCTGTAAGTGATTTATCTCCATTAATATGGGCCGGCCCGCGCCGCTCTCGAACTAGTTGAGCCCGTCGTCGCCGATCGAGCTGCCTCATCGATCCTTTCGATCCTATCTTGATCTTTTCATGATACCGGGTACTGCCAATTTTCCATCTGAGATGGTCAAATAAAGGGGTGATGTACAACTTCCGTTGCATCATTCCGGTATTGGGCTGGCTGACGAAGTGAGCCTGCGCCATTTGTGCCTCTCATCCTGGAAAATTCAGCGACAGTCGAGGAAAGGCTGGTTGTAAAAAGCGAGAACGTACCTGCTGGTGGCCTCGAGGCGATGTGCCCTACTCAGTCTCGTTCACTCGCGACTTTGTGCTCTTCCCCCAACCTCAGCTGACGTCGTCACTTTTAGATCATCTACAATGACTGAACCTACCGGTACTGGAGCTAACCGCATCGACTTGCGTGTGGGTGGTAAATATCGCTTAGGAAAGAAAATCGGCTCCGGCTCTTTCGGTAAGCGTCTATATTCCTTAATCTAACCAACTGTCCGGCATAGATATATTAATACGAACGATTCTCTCCTTCAGGTGATATCTATCTGGGCATTAACATCATCTCCGGCGAAGAGGTTGCCATCAAACTCGAATCTGTCAAGGCGAAGCATCCTCAGCTCGAGTATGAGTCTAAAGTCTACAAGACTCTTGCTGGAGGTGTCGGTGTACCGTTTGTGAGGTGGTTCGGTACCGAATGTGACTATAATGCCATGGTTTTGGACCTCCTGGGCCCCTCCCTTGAGGATCTCTTCAACTTCTGCAACAGGAAGTTCTCCCTTAAGACCGTCTTATTGCTCGCTGATCAATTGGTAAGAGCTTTACAACATTTTGATTGATGGACATTATTAAACGTTTCCACAGATCTCTCGTGTCGAGTATGTCCACTCTCGCAACTTTATCCATCGTGATATCAAGCCCGACAACTTCTTGATGGGTATTGGCAAACGCGGCAATCAAGTAAACATTATCGACTTCGGTTTGGCCAAGAAATATCGTGATCCCAAGACCCACTTGCACATCCCCTACCGTGAGAACAAGAACTTGACTGGTACCGCTCGCTATACTTCCATCAATACTCACTTGGGTGTCGGTATGTAGATTCTAAACTATGTTGTAAACTTGAGCTCATTTCCTTCTAGAACAAGCTCGTCGTGATGACCTCGAATCCCTTGCCTATGTGTTGATGTACTTCCTCCGTGGTGCCCTGCCATGGCAAGGTCTCAAGGCGGCCACCAAGAAGCAGAAGTACGACAGAATCATGGAGAAGAAGATGACAACCCCAACCGACCTCTTGTGCCGTGGCTTCCCCAACGAGTTCGGAATCTTCCTCAACTACTGTCGTGCTTTGCGCTTCGACGACAAGCCCGACTATTCATATCTCCGCAAACTCTTCCGCGATTTGTTCGTCCGCGAAGGATTCCAATACGATTATGTGTTCGACTGGAGTGTGCAGCAGCGAAATGAAGATGGTAGTGTCAAAGCTCCTCGCGCTACTCGCAAACCAACGGAAGATGCTGACCCTGTTGCAGAAGCTCCTCGGTGAGCACTAATGTGCCTATATAAAAACGATCATAAATTCTGACGGAGCCTTTATTCCAGTAGACTTCGCAGCTCTCAACGTGGTACCGGTCCCTATTAATCGTTTTATCCCGTCCACCTCCCGTCTCCTGCTTCTGGTTTGAAGGTCGACCCCTGAAGCAGGTTGTTGTCTTTTTGATCGAGAGGATGTGTGTATGTGTGTGTTGCGGCGTTGGCCTCGATTGATGGAGAGTGGTCGTATGAACCCGGTGGTCCGTTCTTGTGACGATCACCACCAAGTGTTCTTATCTATATCGGGTGAGTGACGGATAGCAGGCAGTGCCTTTTGAGAACGCACTGTTTGGCGCCGCTCACTCTGAGAAACCACTACACGCAAAGGTTTTCTCAAGCAGCCTTTGAAGTAATGTTCCTTTCTGCAATCTAGCTCGAAAATGTTGGGGTACTGTACTCTCAAGACCGTCCTGTCACCCACAGCCTCACGTCAATATCACTCGGCTGCACCGGTCTTGTACAAGAAAATCGCTGGTCGCCCCAACCACCCGCCATACATATTTGCAAAATTTTATACAATCCCAGGTTTTTAAAGCTTTCGATCAACTTTCAACAACAAAGATCCCCTCGGCCAGGGATTCCCTAAGGAGCCCCGCCTGACGGGCGATTCGCTATACATCGCTCCCCGAAATATTTGCACAGTAAACACCACGGACGCTTCGTTTCTTTCATGCTCTCCTTTATGGATGTCGACCCCAGCTCGAATTCGTTTTAACGATGTAGAGCAGGAGGGCAGCCCAATCCCCATCCCCATTCTATATAGTTCAGCGGTAATCGGTGCTACACACTTGTGCTCCTGCTTTGCATTCCTTGCCCCATCGTGCGTTTCCACTCTCCCTCCCTCTCGGCCGGACAATTGAAGTCTGGTTCAATCTTACGATATACATAAGCTACCAGCTAGTTTTCTT